ACACTATAAGGTGTTTTAAACCCTTCCCACACTCTTGCATTATTCTAAACAATTTCTAAACTTTAAAAGAGGAAAAGAGAATGTCATGATTTCAGCTCTCTGCCTCCGACTGCTCTCTCGGCCACGCCCACTTCTCTGCTCTGCACAGAGATCAGCTGATCAGCTGCAGGAGGAAGCTTCTCCCATAGCTGTGGGCTGCACACAGGTGCTAAATAATTTAAAGTAATTTATTTTAAATATAAATCCCATGCCGATCATGCAGCTCATCCATCAATCAGCCATTGTGTGTCATGTCCAATCTTACATTGAAAACCGCGATAGAGCGAGTCCGCGAAAAATGAATCACGAAGTAGCGAGGGACCACTGTAGTCGTTGGTTCAAAGCTGTTCGACTGAAGATTTTAATAAACCTCTCAGCTTGGCTAAATTCTTCCTATGTCCGAGTTCAATAAAAATAAAATTGTGTATCCATTTCTTCCTGTTGTTGAAAACAACCAGTCCCTTTAACACATGTACGTATTTTCACCCAAAAATATCAGTTTCGTTCAGAGATGATTGGTGTCCTTTTAAAAAAAATTATCCACATCGGTGGTGACTGAACGTACTAATCTCATAAAAAAATCACACATCTGTTCATTTTGTGACCCATTCACTGAATGTTTTTTTGTTTTTCTTTTTGGTGCATCAGCAGATGTCAAGGAAAATTGACCAAAATATTAAACACTATCATTATTATTATTATTATTATTATTATTATTATTATTATTATTTACTAACTAAACATAACTTCTGTTTGGCGGGTTTAATTAAAGTAGGCGTCTTGATGACATCATCACTACTGGCCTTTTGCAGTCTTTTTATCGTCACATCCATGAGCATCAAAACAGAACTGGCTTTATTTTTTAAAGTTTACTGTGTGTTCTTCTGTCTTTTAACAAAATACCATGTATCAGAGTACAGGTTTTACTGAAACTCCCAGAAAGGAATCAGTAGATGTACATCTACAGCTGGTTAACTTTTGGAGTCAGCCTGACTCAATATGGCCGCCACAAATGATCAACTTCAGCAAACACAAAAATAGACACAGCTCTGTCAGTCTTCTAGATATTGAGCTATCTGTTGTTGGAAAAAAGGCAAGGTCTTTATTTTTCATCACTTTGAATCTGAGCATTTCTTCAGCTTTTATTGACACAATGGCTGTAAGCAGTGGTTAATTTTTATTTTACTTTTTTGTCCTTGTTTATTCCGAATCTTGTACACTGAATTGTTTGTGAATAATAAACCATTATATTTATGGGCCAAACAAATTATCAGCCCTAGTTTAAAAAAATGGCAACAGACATTATCCTCTAAAGTTGTAAGTTTGATAAAAAGCACTAAGCTTTTAAAAAAATTAATTAGATAAGAAAATGGCTGATTTACTTCTATGAACAAGTCTCACAAGAATAAAGTATTCTCGCCTTCCAGAGTCCTTTTTTTTTTTTTTTTTACCGTGGCACTGAGGCAACCTCATTTTTTCACAGTGCACCCATGAGCTCTGAGGCCTGCAGGAATTCTTTATAGCTTTAATAAATAGTGGCTAATGCTGTAATAGGATGAAGAAGACCACGCCTGGAAGCACAGCCTGAAGTACCCCCACTTCCTTGACCTTTCAGGGTGCATCTGTGCCATGCACAGTACTGATACATGACACCCTGTACAGATGGGATTTTGCAGGTTACTTATCATCTGCCACAAACTGCTTCTTGCAAATAAACACAAAAGATGACAGCAGCTCTCTTCCTCTGCTTCCAGCAGGACTGAGCACGGAGGGAATCTACAGGGTCAGCGGGAACAAGGCAGAGATTGAGAGCGTGCAGCGACAATTTGAACAAGGTGGGTATTTTACTTCCTACATATCTCATTTTCATTATATTGTCCATTTATTTAACAAGTGTTGGGTATTAACCAGTCCTATACACTATAACATTTATAGGCTAGGCTAATTTGTAACGAATGCACCTAGATGGACCTTTAGCAATCTGAAAATAAATGTTTAAAATGCACTTTAAAGTCGAGTCAAATTTATTTATAAAGCACATTTAAAGCAGCAGCTGTTACCAAAGTTGTTAACAATAAGATCAAGACGATAAATAAAAATAACAGGATGTAATTAAAAGCATCAAAAATAAAAACATGAAAACAAAAACAATGAGAAACATTGAAATAAGTAAATGAAATCACAGTGTTAAATGTCAGTGAATACAGGTGTGTTTTAAGGAGAGATGCAAAAGCAGGAAGTGAAGTGGCCTTTCTAATGTTGAAGGGCAGATTGTTCCAGAGTTTAGGGCCAATGAAAAAAAAAAAGCCCGATCTCCTCTGAGCTTCAGCCTGGTTTGTGGTACAATCAAAAGCAGCTGGTTGGATGATCTCAGCGCCCAAGAAGGAGCATAAGGTTGAAGTAGGTCAAAGAGGTATGAGGGTACAAGGCCATTTATGTACTTAAATGTCAACAGGAGAATTTTAAAATAAATTCTGATACAAACAGGGAGCCAGTGAAGGGAGGACAAAACCGGTGAAATGTGCCCAAACCTATGAGTTCCTGTTAACAGCTGAGCTGCAGCATTTTGGACGAACTGGAAACGTGAAAGAGACACCTGACTGATCCCAATATAAAGTGCATTACAGTAGTCTAGCCAGGTTGTAACGAATGCATGGACTATATTTTCAAGGTCAGATCTGGTCAACACTGACTTTAGCTTAGCTAACTGCCTTAACTGGAAGAAGCTTTTTGTAGAACAGAGTTAATCTGTTTATTAAACTTAAAGTCAGAGTCTAAAACTGTCCAGAGATTCATAACAGACTGCTTAAGAAATGGCTGAAGAGAGTCAAGATTTACAGAATCAGAGACATCGGTAGAGCTAGGGCTAAGCACAATGACTTCAGTTTTCTGATCATTAAAACTTTTAAAACATTGAAGCCATCCATGCCTTGATGTCATCAAGACATTTTAACGGAGGGTGAATGGAACAGGAACTGTTGGGTTTCAAGGGCAGATAAATCTGACAATCATCAGCATAACAATGAAATGAAAGGCCATGTTTCCTCAGGATAGATCCCAAAGGCAGCAGATAGAGTGAAAATAAAAGGTGTCCAAGATTCGAGCCCTGTGGGACCCCACAGGAAAGAGGCAATGATGTGGAGTGTCAGTGCCAATGTTTTTAAAAACAAAACATTGCACCT